TTTCTTCCCACCCACCCCCAGGCCAGAAGCCAGGGGTGCCCAAGCCCTTTGCACACCCTCTGGGCACCTGTCAGACGCCACGGGGGGGGGGGGGGGGGAGATGGACTGACAGGGGCGCCTTGGGAAGCAGCAGACGGGGCTCAGGATCACAAGGGCGTGAGGGAGCAGAAAATCCTCCTACCACACTCCTGGCCCTCTCCCTCCTCACACAGACACGCGCTAGGGGCTTGGTCACTCCTTACAGTCCGCCCGACACAGGGGCCGCTCAGGGGCGGGTCCCCGGACACCAGGCACAGCATGTCCTCCTGGCCCCCCGGCCACCTTCCTTGTCTTGCTCTTTCCCGTTGCCAGTCACCCTACGCGCCCCGTGGCTTTCGCCGGACCACCGCTCGCCCCTCGCTGGCACACGCCCACTCGCTCTGCTTCCCTCTGACCGGCTCCGGGTCCCGCTCTGCCGGCCCGGCTGTGTGCTGCCCCCGTGTCTCTTTGTCTGCGCGGCTCAGGGGCCCCTTCTCTCCGGGAATTTCTCTGTCTCCGAGTCTCTCGCTCCCGCTCTCTTTTCTCTTCTCGGCTGTGTTCCTAGACTCCCCTTTTTCCACGAGGAGGGCTGAGGAGGGCTGCTGGCCACGCACAAACCTCGGGAGCCACTCTGGCGTGGGGGGCAACTCCTTTCTCGCTCCTGCCTCAAGAGCTATGTTTTCCTTCTCTCTTCCTCGCCCCTCCACCCCAGCCAGGTCCACATCTCCGTGCGGCTCTCTCTGGAAGCAGAAAGCTAGACTGGACCTAAGCACACCCTGCATGCAAGACTGGCAACAGATCCGAGCTCAGGGGAAAAGGAGGCAGCTCAGGTGCAGGGGAGAGGCCAAGCCCTGGGTGAAGACCAAGTAAAAGAGGAGAGAAGAGGGCGCCACGGAGGAAAAGGAAGGAAGAGGAAGGAAGCCAGAGGCGGAGACTCGGCCTCTGCAGGGCAGGGAGCCTGACAGCCTGCCGGGCCGAGGCCAAGGTCAAAGAGTGGGTGCATCATGCCTGGGGTCATGGGTCAGAGTCAGCGGCCTGCCCTCCACTGACCAGTGCCCTCGATATGGAGTCACAGCAAGCACCTGCCCCCGGCCCCTGGGGCTCCGCCTTGCCAGGACGGTGGCACTCCAGCCTTCGGTTATTCTGGGGCCGTCACGGACCTCAGGGGCCCATCAGGCCCGGAAGCGCCAAGAGACCTGAGCCACTGTCCCCTCCTGTGACACCAGCCCCGAGGCTGGCAGCCACACTCGTGGGGTGTCACAGCCACCCAGAGACGGCAGAGGCAGCCGAAGGAATGGTGATCCCTCGTCACCTCCCAGCATCTCGATGGCAGCAGCCCTCGCCTCCCGACCCCAGTGAGGAGCTCTGCTGCCTGCAGCCTGGACAACGTGCCTGCGGCCACACGCCCTGCCCACTGCCCACAGCCAAGGAGCCACCGCACATGGAAGCTCTTGCCTGGCCCCCCCCTCTCCCCTCCCCCCAGCCACACCTGTAACAGCCCTCAGCCTATTCTTGTAGCCAAACCTAAGCCCCACGCATCCTGAGGGTGGCTAATGGCCCAGGGGGTCCCGGCAAGTCCCGGACCCCACCTGCTGCTTCTTGGTTCTTGACTCAGCACCCCTGTACTGCCTCCCAGGCCCCCCCCCCAGATGTCCCTCCTCCCTGCACAGTCACCTCCCAGACCCAGCGATGGAAGCCTGTCCCCCACAGCTAAGGTCCCGCTGCTGGGGCACCCCGAGCCCCCTTACGCTGTGTGTGGGGCACCCTGGGCACGCCTTGGGGCTTGTGTCTGAGTCACCTGTGACCCCAAGAAAGATGGAAGGACAGAAGGAAGGGCGGTTCAAGGTTCAAGGTTCAAGGTGGAGGCAGAGCCATGCTCCTGCCCAGCCCTGGCCGGGCCGTGGATGCCGTGGACGCCACACCACACCAGCATCCGCGGTCCCGCTCCCCCCGACCTCCTCCCGAAGGAGCTCCCCTACGACCTCCTCCCGAAGAACAGGAGGCCGCAGCGGCCGTCACCGCCCACGCCTCGCTGCCCAGGGCCCGCAGACCTGCCAGCTCAGAGCCGGGGCCCCTCGGAAGGCACACACGTTGCCTCTCTGCGTCTCCAGGCGGAGGGAACCCCAGGAAAGCTCAGGAGAGGTCGGCTGAAGGAATAAATGAGTGGATATGGTTTGTGTGTCTGTGTGTTCACTTATCCACTCAACAGATACCGTGAGGCCGTGGGAGACACTACACACGTGACGTGTGATCAGATATGGAAACAGCGCTTGAAGCAGGGGCGGGCGGGGCAGGCCAGCGGGGGGGGAGGGGGAGGTGAGGGACCCTGAGGTGGCGGTCTGAGGGAGGTGGAGGAATGAATCCAACCAAGAGGGAGAGGCCTGGCGGGCTGGGGTGAAAGCAGAGGGAGTGAAGGGGGCACGTGGCACCAAGGCCGGCCGCCCGGCGCCTCCAAGACTGGAGGGGGTGTCGCTCATGGTGGGGCTCCAGGCACCAGCTCCCACTGGGGCGAGAGGCCGCCATCCCCACCTCTGAGAGTGGTTATAAAGGAAAGGCCACGGGGTGGGCCGTGCTTGTTGTAGTTGTTTGTAACAAAATGACAGACCTAACGGGGTGCGGCCCCCTTCAAACATCTGCCGGGAGGCGGACTTCCCCTCGGACTCAGGCGCTTTGGTAGCAGCCTGCACGGTGAGCTCACAGACCAACGTCTCTGCTGTGGGTCACTCTCTAGTTTCTATCAGAAAAGCAACAAGTCACCCAGTATCGTCCAATCCCTTCGTTCTAAACGTATCAGGCTGACACCAAGCAAGACTCCCCGTGCTTCCCCACATCAAACCTGCTCTCTGCCCTTGGCCAGGTGGCTCAGTATGGTTGAATGTCGTCCTATGCATGTTCGATTCCTGGCCAGGGCACATATCCAGGTGGCAGGTCTGTCTGTCTGTCTGTCTGTCTCTCTCTCTCCTCTCTCTCTCTCTGTCAGTGTCTCTGTCTCCTTCCCTCTTTCTTCCCCTCCCTCTAAAGCCAGTAAAAATACATCCGTGAGCGAGAATTTTTAAAAAGATGGCTCTCAGAGCACCAAGATTGGCATCCGAAGAGGATCCCCACCCCTGGGTGAGTTTTGCTGAGGCGGAGGAAGAAGAGGTTGACGTTCAGGCAGACCCTCGTTCAAACTCTGCCCCCGCCTCTTACATGCTGTAACCTTGGGCCACTTGCCTCCCTTCTCTGGGCCTTCAGTTTCCCTCTCCTGTAACAGGTGACTGCCATCTACTTCGAGGGCTGCAGTGAAGGTTCATGCAGTGCCCAGAACCGGCCCTGGCAGGTAGGTAACCCCTAGTGACCCTCCGTTCCCTCAGTAGGACTGAGCTCTCGGGCACACTACCACATCTGCCACCTGCATGTCTATGAAAAGTCAGCAAACACCTGTTTGAACACAAAGAACGGACATCATGGGTCTGATCGTCACCTCCACCAGCTCTGAAACATAAACCGCTTTTTAATCGCCTCCGCTACTCTAGGCCAGCTTTTGGGCATTCTGCAACACCTCCAGCCCTCAAACAAATGCTGCTCCCGGAAGCTCCTTGACCCTCTCTCAAGGTCAAGAGCGTCGGAGCGCGTGAGTTCCCGGGAAAGCTCCAGTCTGGCTCCCGGGAGAAAGCAGGCAGCTGCACCCAGCCCCCTGCTTCCCCTACCAGTGAGAAGGGGGTTCACGGAGGAACCTCGGAGCACACAGCCGTGCGGATGCAGAGATGCGTTTTCCCGGGAGAACGTCTAGACTAACACCAGAAGTCTACGGGCTAAGGCCGCCTGAAACATGCGGTTTGGACCACACGTGGATTTTTTAAATTCTGTGTTGGTTGCCAGCATTTAAAAAAAAAAAAAAAAATTGGGAGATTGCCCATGAAAGTCTGGATTTCTGGCTTCTCTGGGGGAATCAGAAAATCAGGCAAGTGGAGAGCCACCCCCTGCCTCTCTGCAGGGGCGTCAGTACTCCTGCCGAGCAGCCCGCCCCTGGCACTTCCTAGGCTGTAGTTCCCACCACATCAGGTTGCAAACCCTGGCCTGCAGTTTCCTCTGCCTCTTGGAGTGAGTCTGTGACCCCTGGTGCAGCAAGGACGCCTGGGTAAGAGGCCGAGAAGGGCAGCCAGAGGACTCCCCAGGGGTCCCGAGGCCTGCGCTAAGCTGCTCCTGTTGGAATAGGGCTGGCAGCGTGGAAGTCCCACCCCGGAGGCCCGGGCCCTACTCACGAAGCTCCTTGCCGGCCTCCGAGCCCCTGCTCTCCGCGGGGCTGAGGGCTGGAGAGCACTGCCTCTGCCTGGGGCCTCGGCGGGCCCCAGGGGGCTCTCGGAAGCCCTCACCTGTCCCGGGAGCTTCCAGCTCTCTCTCGAGCTCCTGCTTTGGAGCCTGCAAGCTTTCAGGAAGTAGCTTCTCACCCCCACGTCCTGGGGGTGGCTGCTGTGACCACCCTCCTTCGGCAGGTGGGGAAACTGATGCTTGCACAGCTGGCCTGGGGCACAGACGGGGAAACTCGGCTCCAGACTGGAATTGGAACGGCCTCACTAGCCTTCAGGGGAAGCGTAGAAGGTGGCTTCTGCCATTATCCCTTTAACAGACGAGGAAACGGAAGCTCTGACGGTCCCCCGTCACTTGCAGTCAGAAAGGGACAAGAGGGGACTCAGACCCAGGTGTGCCGTACCCCACGCTGCGATCTGAGCCACCAGGTTACCCCCTCGCTACCCTACTGAGCCCCGACACTCAGCAGCAGAAACCCCCTCCGTCGCCAACACCCGGAACCACTGGTTCGGCCAGAAAGTTGCAAGACACACAGAGGGTGAAAACACGAATTAGTCAGACGAACCTCGTCGGGGACAGGGCAGAAAGACGGGCAGCACCCCCTGGAGAGGGTGGGGGGGACAAGGATGAGAAAGCAGGGGGTTCTGAGAGGAAAGGGACCCAGAGCACACCTCTGGGGCCACTGCCCTTACCTCTTGGGTAGACGCAGCGCAGCTAATACATTCAGGCCACCAACCCGGTCCAGCTGAGAACCTGGGGAGAAAGGAGAAGGTCGTCAGCATCCTGGGGGATCCGTGAGGCGTCCCCACCTCGGGCGGAGGGACCCTCCTCCTGCCGCAGCGTCAGAGTCACACGCTGGCGAACGTGGCACCAGGTCCTCACAGCCCCTTGCTGCCGCCGGCGTCAGGGCCAGGCCCTGAGCCTCAGTGTTCCCGTCTCATCAGTGGGCACACGGCCTCCTGCCCGGGCGAAACATGTTTCCCCACCGGGTGGGTCTGTCCTGCAGCGTTAGCCGAGGCAGGGGGCCCAGCGGGGGCGGGGGGGGGGGGGCGGCGGCGGATATTCAACACGAACATGACGGATGACTGAGTGGGTGGATGGACAGACAGAGGAGTTGATTCATTAACGAGCTATGGCCCTAACTGGTTTGGCTCAGTGGATAGAGTGTTGGCCTGCGAACTCATTAATAAGCTATGCAGCTCGGAGGAAGGCTGGGAAGATCGAATGAGAAGGAAAGCGAAAGGGTTACTCATCCTTAGGTGCCTAAAGCTGGAAATAAAAGCCACGCTGATGCCTGTGACGTGGATGCCTGCTCCTTCGTTTACTCATTTGGTTAATGGGCAGACGCCAGGCGTGTCTGAGCCAGCTCCAGACCACGTGTGGTGGGCCCCAGGATGGACCAGACAAGACCTCTGCCCTGTCTCCCAGGGGCTCATGGGTGGGGGGTGGAGTAAAGAGCTATGCCAACATCTGGTGGGCAGAGGGTTCCGCGGGGATCCCAGGGGAGGGCAGGGAAGGCCTAGGCAGAACGCGGGCCCCAGCCCAGCCTGGCAGACAATCCCTCCAGTCAGGCAGAGGGGCAGGTGGAGCCCAGGGCTCAGCAGGAACATGGGAAGGACAAGGCGGGACAGACCTCAGGGCTGCGCCCAGCAGAGCCTGCCCAGGCAGCCGGTGGCGCAGGAGCGGGCTCTGGGTTGTCCTTAGAATAAGGCGATCAGACGTCCCGCTTTTGGAGGGACAGTCCCGATTTTTAACAATTTGTCCCGTGTCCTGGGGCGCTTTTAAAAATGCCGTGGGACGCGGGACAAATTGTTAAAAATCGGGACTGTCCCGCCAAAAGCAGGACGTCTGGTCACCTTACCTTAGAAAGGCCTCACGTGCTCTGTGCAGGAGGTAGAGTGGGTGGAGGGCGGACAGGATGTGGGGAGAGCTGTCCCCACAAAGTGTCTGTGGTCCTCTCCGCAGCCCCACAGGAAGGCAGTGACCGCCGTGTCCTCCCCACTCTGCAGAGGCAGCGGGGGAGGCGAGAGGAGACCTGACTTCTCGGGACCAGGACGCTGTGCCTGGGGTGCGGGCGGAGCGGGCCTCTCCGGCGGAGTGAGTGCCTTCCCTGAAGCCTGGAGCCCGCCTCGTGGGGACACCGTCCTCTTGGGGAAGCCCTGGACCTGCGCAGAGACACCTCGCCCTGCTCGCTCCGGCGCCCAGAGCGGGCAGGGACCATGGCACAGGGACGATGCCCCGAGGACACGTGCCCACCAGGGAGTGCTGAGGCCTGGACAGAAGCGACGCCGGGAGCCGGGACTCAGAGGGAGAGCCTGTTGGCGAGGTCCCCAGCCAGGACTCTCCCCTCGTGTCCCTGTGGTGCACTCCCGGGGGTGGGGGAGAGTCAGGAGGGGACAGACAGCGCATCAGCCATGGACCTTGCCAGTGGGCAGACCCCTTTTCCATCTCATGGCACATCTGGCAGCACAGATGAGGCCCGGGACCAACCAACAACACAAAGACAGGACAGGAGTTCAGGAGGAGAAAGAGCAGAAGACGGGCTGAGACACTGAAGAGACAGACAGACAGGCGAACCAGTGGCTGGACAGAAAGGTGGATAGATAGACAGGAAAGAGAAGAGATGGGGAGACAAACGGACAAAGAGGGGGCGTGGAGGGAGCCACGGGCAGGGAGGCCAGGGAGAAGCCCAGATGGGGAGGAATCAAGCCGGGTAATGGGGACCAGGTGTCGGCCCAACTCCACCCCATGGCCCTCTCTCTACCTGGGCCTCCATCTGCAGGGGTGGGAGGGGCAGGGACCCCTGGTTCCTCGGGGGAGGGAGGAGCTGCCCCCACCCCTCCCCGGAGCTAATCAGCGGCTGTCATCTCCACGGTGAGGTCTTGGTTAAGGAGATTTAGGGCCGGGATCAATAGGAAATTTAAAAATCGATGCAGCGCGCAGGGCAAAATCGATGGCGTTTAATCGCCTTGCCGATTCCCAGTCAAAACAATTAGCCGCGCCGAGTGTTGAACACGGTGGCGACACGGCATTAACCGTCAATATTGGTGTAAGTGATGGCGGGCGGCGGGGAATCCCTGGGCCTCGGAGGGCAGGAGTCAGGCCGCCTCAGGGATGGGGTCTTCCCGGGGCAGCGCCCATGCTGGGGCTCCTGCCTCCGGCAGGGACCCCACTGTCTCCTCACTCTGCCCCCTCGGCTGCTGCGATGCCCACAGGCAGCACCCTCCCCCCACACCCCCCCGCACACACCATCTGCCTCCAGCTCCTTGCCCCAGTCTCCCGGACGCCCCATATGCCCTGACAGACCCTGCTCCCACGGAGAGAACACCTCTCCTCTCTCCGGGCCCTGCGGGAGCTGGGCCCAGGGCCTGAGGGGAGAGGCGGTGGGAGTGGGGGCGGTTTAGAAAATGCGTCTCCCCATTTCACAGATGTGGAGTCGGGGACAGGGAGTGACCCACACAGGAAGGGGAGGAGCCTGGGCTGGAGCCCCATTTCTCTAACTCCGGATCTACGCTGCTCCACAGAGAAGGGGAGATCTCCGGAGTATTCCCTGGAGAAAGGAAGAGCTCAGCCTTGGGCCTGGCCCCTCCGCTCTCCTCGCAGCGGCTACCATACTTTGCTGTGTCCCGCGGTCTGTCTGCTACCTGCCTGCCAGACTGTGGGCTCGTGGTGAGTGGGTTGGGATCTGGCTCCTCGGGGGATTCCCAGCATCAATCAGCACAGGGGACGGCCCCACGCTGGGGCCCAGGACAGGCCTGAGGGTGACCGTGCCCCCTGGCCCCACAGACACAGGCTGCCCACATACGCCTCCACGGAGGGACAAACGGACTGCGGGGCTGCCCCCATGGCCAGTCCAGCAGAGCGGCCTTTCGTGAGCATGGCCAACGTGTCCTGAGCAGTGGGCGTGGTTGGTGGCTCTGCAGGTGTGATCTCACAGAATCCTCACAACCAGCTGGTAACTACCACCCCCGAGATTCAGAGGAGAAAAGGGAGGCTCAGAGAGGTGAAGACACCTGCCCGAGGTCACACAGCCAAGAGGCAGATCCATCTGACTGGACGCTGAGGGGCATGGGATGCAGAACAAGCAAGACCTAATGAGACCAAGCAAGAGAGAGGGATGCAGGGGCGAGGGCGGGAGGGGGTGAGGGGCGGGAACATGGCACCTAGACAGAGGACCAGGAGGGGCCCCCACAGAGCTGGGGGTGCGGGCAGGGTGAGCAAGGCAGGGGCAGACCTGGAGGTGGCACCCGGGCTCCTGCCCCGGCAGGACCAGGCTGGGAGGTGAGGAGGACAGGCTGGCTCTCACCTTCTCTGAGCTTACAAAGGGCTCCTGGTTCTGGGGTGCCGCGGGGGGCAGGCGGAGGCTCCCGAGGCCACCTGCTCCCCGGCACGGAAGAGCCAGGCTGGGGTGTGTGCAGGGAGGAGGCCCATGAGATGCGCCAGAGATTGATCTGACAAGGTCCTAATCAAATGGTCAATATCCCTGACCTGACCACTTAACCTATTGATAAGCTGGCAAGGAAGGAGCAGGCGGTGAGAGGGCTCAGGGAGGGAGGCAGGGGGGGGGGGCAGGGGGGGGGGGGAGCCTGATGAATGTGCTGAGGTCGCAGCCTGCCTGGGGCTGGGGGCTTCAACCCAAGCCCCTCCCTGCACCCAGGGCCCCTCAGTCCCTCCCTGAGTGAGACTGGGAGCCGTCCCAGCACCCTCTCCACCCCTCGGACCCTTGGATGGTACCCTAGCTTTGCACACATCTGGGGGACCTCTGGGGGTCTTAGTGTCCTCATCTGCTAATGGGGATACTTATAACTGGGAGCAGCCTGGGGTCCTATGACCGGGGTCTGGTACCATACATGATGGAGGGCTGCGAAGGCGCAGGAAATACGCTCAAAACATGTTCATTGACAAGTGTGTGATGTTCCTAATCCATTGTTAGGAGGGAAAAGGCCGGTTATAAACTGGCATATGGCGTATGATCCCGTTTTTGTGAAACACACACACACACACACACACACACACACATTTTCACCAAAGGGAAAAAAATTAAAGCGGAAGTCAGAACTCGGAGTTTGGCCCCAGGCGTCTGAGTTCTAATCCACTCCTGGGGTAAAATCGCAGGGGTCCTACCCGGTGAGAAAAAGCTATCGAGAAGGCTGACCGTCAGGAAGTTAGTTTTTGTTTCATTTAACTGGTTGGCCATGGTAGGTTTTTATCCTCATCTCTGAAAATCTGCATTTTCTTCCTTCCTTCCTTCCTTCCTTCCTTCCTTCCTTCCTTCCTTCCTCCCTCCCTCCCTCCCTCCCTCCCTCCCTCCCTCCCTCCCTCCCTTCTTTCTTTCTTTCTTTCTTTCTTTCTTTCTTTCACAATGAGAAGATATCACATCGGCTAACATTTGTTTGTAATTATAAAAACTGGGCTAACTAACCCGCAGCGGCGGGAGGCAGGACCGTGGCGAGGCACCGGTGGGGGCGCAGTGAGGGTGCTCCCAGCCAGGCCTGTGACCCAGCAGCCCGTAATGTGCGTGAACCCGCAGCGCTGAGCGGAGAAACGCTTGCTCCTCCAGGGGAAAGGGCAGGGTAGGACCACGCCGAGCCCTCCGCCCTGTCCCCTCTTCGGGGAACCCGGCCGGGGGTCACAGACAGGAGCGACAGCCGGAGGGAAAGCCACGCCCCAGAGGGAGGGAGAGGGCTTCCTCAAAGTCACACCTGGCAGCGACAGAGCTGGGCCCCACGCCGGGGCTCCTGGCTCAGCTCCTG